AATCGGCAATTGTTTCATTCATTTCAGTCAACATAATCTCGTCGTCGATATAATCGTAATTCAATTCAAATTTCTTTAGTTTTGATAATTTTGGTAATAATTGTCGCAATTGTCGGGGAATCGACGCAATCAACGGTCAATGCTGTGAAGGCATTGAGTTTTTAACACAAATATTATAATAATGTGATTCATTAACAGATTATTTTATAAAGGTAATTAGCAATAATATAAAAAAAATAGAATAACTTTATTACTAGATTAAATATTAGTGAGCATTAAAATAGTAATTTACCAGTTTGGTTTTGCAAAAATGTCTGTAACATGGAAGTGGTCAATAGTGACTAACAATGGAAAATCGACCTCTTGTTATGCAATATTACAAGTTTGCAAGGCAATGTAAAACTATAATACATTAAAAATTTAGTTTATTTATGAAATGATTTAATTATTTGCAAAACTTGTGACGAATTCCCGTGCCTTTGAGGTGGTCAATAGCACATTATTTTTGTGTATTAATGATTTAAAAGTAACCTGAGCTAGGGGTCCTGATGGCAGACACTGCCATAGAATAATCTATTATTACAACCAAATCACATGTTAACCCTATGGGTATAATTCTGTAAAATTATTTAATTACTTGCAAAATTTGTGACGGATTCCCGTGCCTTTGAAGTGGTCAATAGCACACTACTGTTGTGTATTAATGATTAAAAAGTGACCTGAGCTAGGGGTCCTGATGGCAGACACTGCCATAGAATAATCTATTATTACAACCAAATCACATGTTAACCCTATGGGTATAATTCTGTAAAATTATTTAATTATTTGCAAAACTTGTGACCGATTCCCGTGCCTTTGAAGTGGTCAATAGCACACTATTGTTGTGTATTAATGATTAAAAAGTGACCTGAGCTAGGGTCCCTGGTTGCAGACAATGCCATAGAATAATTTATTGTTAGAACCAAATTACATGTTAACCCTATCGGTGTTTATTTATGAAATGATTTAATTATTTGCAAAACTTGTGACCGATTCCCGTGCCTTTGAAGTGGTCAATAGCACACTACTGTTGTGTATTAATGATTAATAGGTGATATGAGCTAGGGGGTATGGTTGGAGACAATGCCATAGAATAAATTATTACTAGAACCAAATCACATGTTAACCCTATGAGTGTTTATTTGTGAAACGATTTAATTATTTGCAAAACTTGTAACGGATTCCCGTGCCTTTGAAGTGGTCAATAGCACACTATTGTTGTTTATTAATTATTAAAAGTAATATAAGCTAGGGGGTATGGTTGGAGACAGTGCCATAGTGTGGTTTATTGATTGATATAAATCACATATTAACCCTATGGGCGTTTATCTGTGAAATGATTTGACAATTTGCAAAACTTGTGACGGACTCCCATACTTCAGAGGTGGTCAATAGCACACTAGTATTGAATATTAATTATTCAGAAGTTATACAAGGTAATTTAGCCTAAAATACATTAAATCAATTTGTAATTTAACAACTTTAGCAAAATTCTAGGCAAAATGTATGAAAATTTTATACAGAATATAATATTTTATTTAATAAAACAAATAAATATTTATACTGAAAGAGAATGTTGATATTTATTTCAAACAATTTTAAGCTGCATATAATGTTATAAACTGTCATGATTAAATATTGCTATAATAATCTAGAATAAAAGTATTTAAGTCATTATAATTTATGAATTTATGGATAAAATATTTGGCACACAATTCTTTTATTTAAGTAAATTTTTACCATGTACTTTAAATTACAACAATAATTTATTGCTGCTCATAATGAATATAATAACCTAGATCACTTGACTTTTTATATTGAACTTATTATAATTTTGTCACATTAAAACAAATATTTATTGAATAATAAATTTTCATTAATACAATACACTTTTAATTATTATTAATCATGAATTATTTTAATTAAAATTTAAAATTTTATAAATACTACAAATATAATAATGCTTAAACAAGATTAAAAAACTCACTGCTAATCACATCATGATATAATACCCAGTTAACTCTAAAACAATTGAGCAGGCTAATGCAAATATAAAAGCACCATGCTACAACAGTACCAGAGTCAACGCAAGTAATTAGGTATATGAGCAAGGTGGTGGTCAACGCGAACATTGTCGCGTTTGGGGTGCCGGCAAGCGATCATGGTGATTAAATCGTGTAAATATTGAACACAGCCACAATACTCGTAGCATTTTGCCATGCTCAGTTACGAGCCGCCAGGCCATACGGGCATTGACACAATTTTGTGTGTAATAATCCATTTTAGCTTGTTTAATCGTATTGGCCAAACATAGTGAAGGGTATGTCAGAAAGTGCGGTAATGTTGTAATATTTTACCACAAAATCTGACCGACTCTGACCGACGTGTAGTCATTGGTATTATGGCTAACGTTGTTATTAAAGTTCATATTATGATCAAAACCCAGACAATACCCGTTTGATACATAGACGACCACGTCATCGATATTTTGAGTTGACATTTTTTTGATCTTGTTTAATAATATTTTTATTTTAATTGACGTTGGTAAATTAAAATTTTTAATTAGTTTTAATATACAGTAGTTGATACGATTTAAATTATATTAACTATAAAATAATAGTTGATTTATTTGATTAATAAATGTGTTAATTCTCAATATATACGTTAACTTTAGGGTGAACATTAATTAATTATTACCAGTTAATTATTATAGAAAATATTATAACGTGAAATATTATTAAGAAATAAATATAATTGTCATAACAATTATCATACAAAATGTTATAACGACTATTGTGCGCGAGTTTTATTAACGGTATTGTTTATTTAAATATAATCTTCCTGGTTACAAGTAAGTTGCAATAAATTACCTGGTTACAAAACAAATTATAAAAATATCCTACAAATTCTTATATTAACTTATTAACTATTTTTAAAACTTATTAAGATGAAATAAAGTCATAAACATACACAATTTAAAAATTACATTTAACAATATGATAATAATTAAATTAATATTTTATTAATTAGCAAAACTAACTATTATTAATAGTTAAGCTCGAATTAAAATAGATCTAGAGAGTTTAAAAATATAATTCTCTTTTCATAGACAAACCCTCTTTGTAATAAAAAGTACATAATCTTAATAAATATATTGGACGTAACCTATGGACGAACCGCAGCTTTGGTCTCATTAAATAATTGTATGCTTTGAATATACACTATATCCCAAACCAGTGATGTGTAAGCCATTGCATTGAGCACAACAACTGCAGCCATGCGTTAACCCAACTCATATACATTAGGGTGTGGGAGAGTTGGGTTACTATAGTAACCAACACTCTGTTATTCAATGCATGGATCGATACAATAGTGTAGAAGCCATGAAAGCGCTTCCCCTTTAGTACGTTCACATCGATGGCTAGTATATGTGTGGTTACACACCCTGTAGTGTACATGTATTGAGGGCTCACAACACATACAGTGTGTGTGTATTGTGTCTGACATTTGTGTTGTGCTTATTGTATAACAAAACACACATTTTTTACGTAAAGTGCAGTTTTGTTTTGCATATATCCTATGTATATCTTTGTTGTGGATTTTATTTGACCAAGGTGATTTATTATATTAGTTTTTTATTTAATTTTTCAACTATGACTCGATGTTGAAATGTATTGACAACTCATCATTCGATGGACTATTTTTGGGTCATTTTGTTTATTGTTTGCTAATAACAAATAATTACTAAAAGGTGAATGATGTTTATTTAATTATTTGTTTGATATAGCTGGTTTATTCCGGTAATAAATAATTATATAGCAGTATTAATAAACTCTGGCACATTTGTAAAATTTTATTTTTGTCACCTAGCTGTGTTATTTAAAAAAAAAATAATAATCCCACATTAATTCAATGGGTATTTTATGTGTCAGTTTTATATACTGTTTACCGCAATAAATAGCATTATATTAAACTATTAAAAAATTAATAACACCATAAGTGTTTAATTTAATGGTAATTTTATTATAACCCATTAAACTAGCGAAACGTAATGATAATAATGAATACCACATTATAAAAACCACCTTAATCGTATAAATAAAAACCTAATTACGGTAAAATATTGTGTGACTCACCTAACTGTATAATTTTTATTTTGTATAAACATCAAATAAACACATATTTTTAATACACTAAACACAGTATTTAATTTCACTAGTAATGGGTGTTAACAAAATAATATATGGTATTTAATTTATAATTGTTTTTATTTTTCTATTGAGATGTTTTGATTAAATTGTGTATACAGTGGTGTTCATTAAAATGTCACAATAATTTATTTTTATTAATTCCCATTTATTGCCTGATTTATCGTACGATTAAACATTTGTTATGTCGTAAATTATCTAGATGTAATTGTTAATGTTAGTTTAGCAAAATATTGTTATTATATTGTGTAGTTAGTTTACACCACTAGTTATTATTATACATGTAAGTAAAGTAATTAATTGTCATAATCTAGTTAAGTGTACTGTAGAATACTGTTACTATTTATGTGCTAGGTTAAAAAATATTTTAGAAAGTTTACCAGAACATTTTTTTAGTGCTATTTACTCTGGGTATAAATAGTTGTAATTTGATAACTAATTATTACATTATACAAATTAAATGTGCATTTTATTCAAACATTACTAATTAATTATTTAATATTTCAGATCTGAGGCCAATCGCGAGAACTCAAACCAAACGGTGTTAACAACTAATCTCAAGACTCTCTCAACACATCTTAAAAACCCAAACCTAAACCCAAATCTCAACCCAAAACACACCCAAAACCTAAAACCAAAAACACCCGACACAGCGATGTACAGCACCGGTAACCTATCGTAGCCGGCGGTCAAGTGTAGGTCAATCACCAGCACTACACCACCATTACTACCACCACTGGTTGTGTGCCACTAATGGAGCTAAAAGTATGGTGCGATGGCATACAGCGTGTGGTATGTGGCGTATCCGCCGCGACCACGTGCCAAGAGGTTGTGTTCGCTCTAGCGCACGCCACCGGCCAAACCGGTCGATTCATCTTGATCGAAAAGTTCCGCCACCAATCCGAGCGCCTGTTGGCGCCGACAGAGCACCCGCTACTTGTGCTCAGCCATTGGGGCGAATACGCCACTGACGTGCAGTTTGTGATGAAACGCAGCGACGGCCCGGTTGTGCCCACCGGTGCCGCCGCCACCGCGTCGGCCGCCAAACTGGCCAACACTGGCCTATCGTTGGCCACTAGTCCGCAGCACTCGATCAGTAGCCCAGCCGTGAATACCTCAGCCAATGGGAGTGGACAACAGCAGCAGCAGGTGCTGGTCAATGGTCAGCCCCCGCCGCCAGCGCTGGTCAGCCCTAACCGCAGGGATGTGTTTAATAACTCTATTAACCGAAAGTCTGGTCATCGCCTGAAATCTGGTACTTATTTTGGTTTTTAATTGCTTTTTAATAGCATTAAATCTATGGCTCTCTTTGACTGTCTTTATCCTATCCCTCCCTCTATAGACACGACACAACTGTCGCCATCGATGGCCAAACAGTTATCATCAACAGCTACGACGACGGCAGCAGCAGCTGTGGCTAGGAATGGCAACACTGGTAGCGCATCCACACCCACCAGCACTCACACCATAATCAATAGCAACACTACCAGCAGCAGCGGCAGCACATCCATCAGCACCGGCAGCCATCCCAACCCTCATCATCACTCCATACCCGGGTCAGCCCAACCGCTGCTGACGACCGCCAGTCCCGTCAAACAACAGGTCCCGCCGACGACGACGACAACCGCTAACACTAACTCAATCTCTAGTCATAATAATAACCACAACAACCCTATTATCACCAGTAATGCCATTAACGCCAACAACCAATTGGTTAACAATATTAATCATATGAACGCAAATATGGTTCACAACAACCATAACAATAACAATCATCACTCCGGGGACCAGCTGTTGACCGAATCGGCGCAACTGCACCAGAAGTTTATCGCCAAAAACAATACCATCAATAATATCCATACCATTAATAGCAATAGTAATAACGCTAACAATAATAATAACAATACAATCATCGCTATCAACAACACCGCCGACGCTATGGTCACCAGCCCTAAGGGCACCGGCCATAGGCCCAGACACCCGCCGCCCTATAGCGAGGCCATTAACAAGTCGGCACTGGTTACGGGCGGTACTGGTAGTCCCGTTACCACCACTACCGGCACCGGCGGCACAAACACTAGTCAACACCCGTTGGAGTTTGACTCGTCCTCCGCTTCCGATGACAACAACACAATCGGCCGACAAGTGGTGACCAACACTACTACCGGTGGTCCGGGCGTTGGTATTGGCGGTAATAATAAGCGCCGATCGGCCGAACCGTCGCCTCAAACGCAGAGCAAACAACGGACCACTTGTGGTGTCGGCGGTGTTGGCGGCGGCACTGGTAGTCAGAAGGATCTGCTCCTCCATAGGGATGCCATACGACTGGTCGATATGCAGAAGGAGACGATGCGGGCACAGGAAATGGTATGTCATTGTCCCTCACCTGATCCTTACCTCCTAACCCCCTCCACCCCCTCCAGTCATATTGATTTTAGTGGTTTTTTAGCATGATTAGTTTTGTTGTTAGTATTTACTGTTGGTGATTATTTGCGTCATTTAAAGTAGTTTAATTTTTTACAATAATTTTAATAACTTTTTAAAATGTATTTTTTATTATTTGATTTATTAATCTAACAATTGTTATTATAAGTAGCAAATGATTTAGTGCCATGTTTATTTTAAAATTTTATACTAGATTTACTATAAGTTATATTCTACAACTTAATATGGTCTGTCATTAATTTTGACATTATTTATAAACTATATGGGTAAAAACACTGTTTGTAAAACATGATAATTTTACATTCCCATGTTGCTTAATATGCTTATTATAAAACATTTTTAATGTTACAAAATTAGTCTAATGCTTAACACCATATTGTATTCAATACAATTGTAATTAACACATTTATTTTCACCATAATGTTAACAGCATTCTTATAATCCTATTACAATTACTTATCTCAACACAATATTATGTACACAAAAACAGATTTATTATAAACAGATATTCACTATAATAGACAACATATACGGGAAGTGATAACTGATAGCAACAGTAATTCGCACTATCATTGATGATAACCAGCAGTGAACCCAACATTAAATACCATAATCATTGGGAGTGTTTAACACAGTTTTATATTTAGTATCAGTAATAGTTAATAATTATTAAATAAATAATTAAAAATACTGTAGTTAATTATTAGTACATTATTAAAGTCTAAACAATACAATATACTGGTATAAGGTATAAGTCAGCCATACTTACCACCACTATTACCACGTTAATAATCTACATACCACCCATACCTATCACTAACCCCACAGCCATTATCACTAACGCTAACCATCTCTGGATCTGTTCCCCCACAGGAAATGTCTTCAGTAGAGCGGGAGATAACCCTAATCGAGAAGAATCTGATGGACAACGAGCTGCTAATCAGCGAATACAAGTGCGAGATGGAGGCCGTCCACCAGCGATGGCAGGACCAGGAGGTGGTCATCGACCAGATGGACGGCGCGGGCATGGAGTGCGAGTTGGATGAGTTGGTGGCCAGGGCTGCCTCCTATGAGGATGACGTACAGGCCGTGAAACACAAGCTGAGCCAATGCGAGACACAGATAGGGGACTGTAGGCAACAGATTACTCGGCTTATGGATCAGTTGGAGGCCGAAGAGGCGGTGGCCCGGAGGCAGAGGGCGGCCGCCAATGAGGCACAGTTGGAGGCGAGTGATGAGACCGAGAGGTTGGCCGAGCAGTTGGTTCGCGCGCTCAGGGATAGGAAGGATGAGTTCGAGTCACAGGTATATTTCGTTTTGATCTCTCTCTCTCT